TATGAACACAGAAGAAAAATGGTGTGTGAAAACAGATGAAGATTGGTGTGATGCACCTGCAAAGCAAGAATGGCACCCACCAGAAGCTGGAAGAGGCAGGAAGGACCCTCCCCTAGTACCTTCAGAGGGAACATGGCCCTGCTGATGCCTTGATTTCAGACTTTTGGCTCCAGAACTGTAAGAGAATAAATTTCTGTTGTTTTAAGCCATGCAGTTTGCATTACTTTATTATGACAGCCCTGGGTCACTAATACAAGGACTATGTAGCACAATGAGGCCACATGCCATTTATTTGTTCATTCGTTCATTCATTCATTCAATAAATATTTGTTGAACACCTACTACATGCCAAGAACTATGCTAAATTCTGGATTTTAAACAGGAGAGTGACATGATCAGGATTGAACCCAGATAATCTGCTTGCATCAGGAAAGGTGGATTGGAGGGGGCTGGAGGCAGGGAGGCCTGTGAGGAGGCTGCTCCCAAGAGATTAAAAATAATGACTGTGGCTGGGGGCTGGAGGAGAGAAGAGCATCTAAAAGATTACGTAGGAGGTAGAGATGTCAGGACTATAGATCAGGCTATTACCTGATAGTCATTTTTTAAATTGAATTTTTGTCAAGCATCACCAGTTGGGCTCTAAAACACATGGTGAAAAACTGAAGTTTTCCAGTTCAGGCATTACAAGACATTTCTTTTTCTACCAGTAATGCCCTCTGCATTTCAATTTTGTCAGTTCTGTCTCCTAAGTGTGGCATATTACTATTTTATAGATTATAATACTTATAATTCTTATTTGCCTTCCTATATCTCTTATCAGGCTTTGAGCTCATTGAGGTCAGGAGCTATGATTCCTCATTTTTCTGTCTCTAATACTCAGTGGGACACTAGTCTCTGCTGCTTAGTTGGACTTTATGGAATTAAGGCATCCTTTAAAATGTTAATAGCATAACTTATGGCCTTTTGTTTAGTGATGAAGTTTTCCCTCCAGGAGCCCCTAGGGAGGCTGTCTGACACTGATGCTGTTCTTTCTTGGCGGGGGCAGCTGCCACCTCTGCAGGGACTTTGCCTGTGACCTTGGATGCTGCTATCCAAGATTTCAGCATTATCTGCTCAGCTTATCATCCTGGCTAATTAGTGGTACCATTTAGAAGCTAGCTTAATTGGAGAACTGTAAAGTAACTTAGATATAATAACATTATCTCCAAAAGGGAAATATTAACTGATTTAGTCAATACCTTTGGAACAGGAGATACAGAATTGCAAAATAAGGCTTTATTCTTTCATAGCACAAAATTTTTCTTTTTGAATTCAGTGTTTACTTCTCAACCTCATGACTGTTTTATGGTTCAACCCATCCTGTGGAACAAGTGACCTCAGGGAAAGGGAGCCACCTCTTCCTTTCTCCTTCCCCAAACTACCGAAGAGGAGCCCATGGTCAAATCTTCCACTCCACCAAATAGCGTGTGATCTCTGGCCCAGGGGCACGGCCTCACTAAGCTTCAGTTGTTTTATTGATAAAGCGGGGATAATAATTCTACCTGCCAAACAGTGTCTGTGCGATGGTCAGAAGATGCACAGAATACAGAGCAGGGAGCACACTGCATGTGAACTCACTTCCTCTCTAGCCCTGCAGTTCACATTCTTCCTTCTTCCCAAAGGGAGGAGGTGAAGGCTACACCTATGAGTACCTTAGACTCTCCCAAGGTTACACTGTGTGTGATTCCATACCAAGCCTTGCATTCTCTAGAAGTAAATCCTATTTTGCCATCTCAGGATTACTACTGAAGGTAGCATTGCCAATTTGCACAAACATGTGTCCCGTGGGAGGAAGCCCCAGGAGATCCCCAACCTGGCACAGTGAGGAGCCTGCCAGTAAACACCTCCATGGAGCGCCGATGCTTCCTCTGCTACACTCTTCTTCCTGTACTCTCTCAGCAACTTGCACCTCCACCCACCCCAAGTCTGTCGACAATTCACCTCTCACCTCCCTCCCTCTCCTACTGCCATTTTCTTCTGACCCCTGCTCTCCTGCTTCTCTCCTGCCACAGCCCCACACAATGCACGCCCATCCCTCCCACAAGCCAGAGCCACTTGGGTGGCGGCCATGCTCTAGTCTTTGCACAAGCTGTTCCCTTTAGTAGGTGTGCTCTTCCCATCTTCTCCACTTGGCCAATGCCTAGTAATCTTTCAGGTCTCGGCTCAAGCATTGGTCCTTTTGGGAAGCCTTCTGCAGATGTCCCCTCTCCACCATATACCCCCAGCCTCAGAGGATTTCCCCCTCCTTTCTCTGTTGCCACAGCAGGCTGTATACACCTGTGACTTGGAACCGCTCCGTATTTGTGGAACAGATGAATGAATGAATGCATGAACAAATTCACATTTTTACCGTTGTCAACCATGAGCTTCTCTGACATTGTATCCTCTACACTGGCTTGTTATACAGTCATAAATGCTTCTGTCCCCTTTAGTCACATGTAAATGCTATCTTTAGCAGCCCTCCTGCTAGCTCAGCAGAACTGTCAATAGAACTTTGTGTGATGATGAAAATATTCTGTCTGCGTTGTTCAATATGATGACCACAGAGCCCTTGAAATGTGGCTAGTGTGAAGGAGGAACTGAATTTTTAATTTAACTTTATTGTAGTTAATTTATATTTAAATTTAATTAGCCATGTGTGGCTAGTGGCTACTGTGTTGTACAGCACAGCTAAGCTCTCACATGAATGCCTTTGTTGGACATCATCTCTTGACTTAAGACACCACTTCCTACAGTATGAAGGCCAAATTCTTACAAATCCTGCACATTCTAATCCCTGAACCATTTCCACCCCCACTTTAGATGCAGTGGTGATGAACAGTGGTTGCAAGTACAGACTCTGGAGCAAGGCTGCCTTGGTTCAAAGCCCAGCTCTGAGCTTCTGAGTAAGCTATTTAATTCCTCTGTGCCTTGCTTTCCTTACCCATAAAATGGGGCTAAAACACCTATACTCAGGGTTATGGTGAGGAGGACATGAGTTCATACGTGTAAAAGGCTCAGAAGAGTGTCTGGCACATAGGAAGCTCTCCATACATGGCAACTACAATTATCTCTCTTTATACATCCCTGCAGAACCAGCCCAGCCTCCTCGCTTTCCCACCCCCCCCCACCCCCAGTGGAATTGTTCACACTGTTCCTTCTGTCTGGAAAGGTTGCCCCTTCATTTTGCCCACTCAAACACTTCCCACTCTCAAGGGCTCAACTGTGCACCCCCCTCCTCCAGGAAGCCTTTTTTATTAATCCTCCTGAGCTTGAGCAAGCTTCTGCTCCTCAGACTTCCAAGATACTTTCTATCTGTGCCCCTTATAGAGCACCTGCAATAGGCAACTAGTTATTACTTACTGTGTACATACATGGCTTCACAGCCAGGCTAGAAGAAACATAAAATCCAAGATACTAGATCATTGGTATCTATTTTCCTTCCAGTTACAGGCCACAGTTGTGTGCATTGTAACTGCTCAAAAAATTAGTATGTTTGATTATTATATTGACTGGTCTTTCCTTAAAGGAGACTGGCAACTCTGCTTCCTCTCTACACATTCACTTTTGGGAGCCTTTCTGCCCAGAGGTCCCATAGAAAGGGTCAAGGACAGGTCCTGAGACTCCGTGGAGAGGGAGAGAGGCTTAGGCCCAGCCTTTTAGCATCCAGAAAGTAGCCAGTTAACTTACAACCATGTGAATATAAGGAACCCCAAGCAATGAAAACAGAAGAACTGCCCAGCTGAGCCCAAGCAGGCCACAGAAGATGACAGATCATAAAAATGGTTGTTGTTTTAAGCCACTAAGTTTTGGAGGGGTTCATTGCACAGCAGTAAATAACCGGAACTCTTATATAAGATGTGCTATTCCCCCTACATTCCCATTGCTTCTGTTCTCTTATGCACTGGCCAGTTTTCAGTCCCATTTTAAGGCAGTGACTGCATTATAGAAATTGCCTGTGGATCACTCACTTTTGCTCTCCTGTCTACTCTTCCCCAACTAGCAACTCTGAAATATGGGACACATTACCCGTAATGGAGAAGAACATTCACTGATTAGCTGTTGACCTTGATCAAGTTACACCACATCTCTGAGACTGTAAAAATAACAATGCTAATGACTTCCTTGTAGGGATGTGGGGGGACTACATGAGCTCCTTAAGTCTTCCCTCAGCGCTCATAGCAACTCGAATATGGATTTTAGGCCATAGCATCACGTCAAGATGTGCAAATATGGGGAAACCCTAAAATCAAATACAGATGTGGTTTTACCCTCTTGATAGGCCAGGAAGTTAAACTGAAGTTTACTTCTTTCTATTCCTCATAGTTCCTGAGTAAAGTCTTAGATTTCCTGTCTTTATTTTTTAAAGGAAGGAATACATAAAACATTTTATGTTTCCTTGTTCCAAAAAGAAAACAATAAGTTGCTCTTTACACATGCTTTTTAGGAGGGAGGAGCAGGGGCTTTTATTAAAAACAAAACAGAACATAAAACTCTTCTTCCCCTCTCTGCAGATGAAGTCCCTGCAACGTGCAGCAGGCACATGATCCATGCACTCAAGGTTGCCCTCGTGCCTGCCACCTGTCATTGTCCCGACTGCCTGTCTTCTTGCTCTGACAATCAGCATTTCCTCCTTGTGGGTTAGATTATTTCAGACCGCCTAACTAAGCAGAATGCACGGGATTCTTTCTGCCAATTTAGAACCCAGCCAGAAACTAGCTTGTCTTAGTCAAACCAAAAATGAAACTGGGGGTGGGGGGGAACTGGGGAGACAATAAGAGGATTAGCTATGACACATGGCTTGGGAACTGACCTTTGACCAAACGTCTTATAAATAACACCAGCACAGCTTTCCCTGTGTGCGCAGACACACCAGGCCCTCAGAGAGGGGGAAATCAGAGCCAGCCAAGAGGGAAAAAGCAGAGACAAGGGAACGGCATCACGAGGGATGAAGATGTAGAGGAGGGAAGGGGCAGGAAGGAGGAAGAAAAGGAGGAGCGAGGACCAGTTGCTTTGAACACAGAGGAGCGTCTGTTCGCTGTCAGTCTCGCTCTCCCTCTGCGCCCTGCGGAATGGATATAATATTCGGCAGGAATAAGAATGAACAGCTGGAGCCTGTGAGGGCCAAAGTGAGAGGTGAGCATTTTGCCTAAGTGATTGGCCCTACCTATGTGCTTAGATGGACACTTTTTTTGATTATGGAAATAGTACTGATTGTAAATTATTTTTGAAAAATCTGGAAAACAGTACAGATGGGGGAAATGACCCATAATCCAGACACATTCTCTGTGAAAATCCAGGAGTGCTTTTATGCATTAGTACTCACAGTTGCCAAGGAGAGACAGTCGTTTTCACTATTTACAGGAGAAAACGTTGGAGATGCCCCAATTGGCATGTATGCAATTAAATCAGTCTGCAAAATACTGCCCATTCCAAGTGTGTGATATGTTTGTGCAAATGTATGCATCTAAATTAATTTCAAAATGGTGAGAGAAGCATGTAAAGCTCCCACTCACACCTATACACACTTGCTGGGCATTGCAGAGTCTGATGTGATTTTCTTTCAGGTACACACAGGTGTGAGCACCTGCAGAGCTGATAAAACAGACCCAGAGTGGGACCCTCTTTAAGAACAATCTTTTAGAGAGCTATGTGTCTGTTTTCTTCTTCTTCTTCTTCTTCTTCTTTTTTTTTTTTTTTTTTTTTTTTTTGGCCAGCACAGGATCAAACCCTGGATGGACCTTGGTGTTATCAGCACCAACTCTAACCAACTGAGCTAACCAGCCAGCTCTTTCATCTGTTATTTCTTGTGCTTTCTCTTCCTTTTTGGGTTACCACTTTCCCGCTACCATCTTGTCTAGACTCTACAAGGCAGTTACTGGTTCTGAACTCTCAGGTCCCTAGAGTGGCTAATGGGTAGCTCAGGCACACGGGCATTTTCATTTTTGAGTAGGTGGGCTGGATCTTTTTCACAAGGAGAGGACAACTGTGAGTGCTCTTTGCGAGGAAGGTCAGATAGAGATTTTCAACTGAAGAATTGCCTTGGGAGTCTTTTGAAAGAAAAAAAATTACAAAGATAATATACAATCTATATGTATATATATATAGCTGTGTGTATATTAAACTATGCATAAAATTTGGAAGTACAAATGAGAACATAGGAGGAAATTAAATTCAGCTATATTTCCATCTCTTAAGCACTATTAATATTTGCATCTATTTCCTTTAAGTTTTTGAAAGATAGATAGATGACTATATATATAAATATTTTTTTCATGGGGAGTGATTGCTAATGAATGTAGGATTTCTGTTAGGGGCAATGGAATTAGATAGAGGAAATAGTTGCACAACATTGTGAACATCGCAAAAACTCCTGAACTCTACACTTTAAAATGATGACCCTGTACCACCCAGCTGCCAAAAAAGAATAAGTAAATAAATAAAATGATGAGCTTTATGTTATAGGAATTTTATCTCAAAATTGCAAAAAAAAAAAAAAAAAAAAAGAAAGAAAGAAAAGAAAAAAAATTAAAATTCCATTCCCTGTTGTAACTGTCAAAGTGCCCATTTTTCTAACACTGAATCTGATCCCTTAGCATGGTCATGTTAGTCCTTGTGACTTGGTCCGTGCTTAACTCTCCAGCCTCATTCCTCACAATTTCCTTGCTTGAAAATTACAGTCCAGTCTTACTAAATAGCTTGCACATTTCCTGGTCTTTATCTCTTGGTGTGGGTTCCTCCAGAGGCAAGAATTCAGGTGTAAGTAGTTCATTTGGGATGAGATGCCCAGAAACACCAGGAAGGGTGAGGAAAAAGAGACAAGGAAGGAAGCCAATAAAAGGGGCATTGTCCAGCCATAATTGATCACTGGAGGCCATTGGAGCTGCTTCCTCTGAACATAGTGTAAAACATGCCTTTATGATCTCATCTGAGGGCAGGGGAGTGGTGGTATTTGTCCCCCAACTTTCCATCCACCATTGGATGAGAGCTGCTTCCAGGGGCATTATCTCTCCAAGGGGCTCCAAGCTTGCCCAGTGTATGGGCGAAGCATGGTCTCCTCCACAGTCAAAACAAAGCCCTCAGGCAGAGAGCTGCAGGTATTTGCAGATAGCAGCCTTCAGGCATAGATGAATGCCAAGGAATGCCATAGCATCTTCTCCAGCACCCTGTCTCCAGGACAGTGCTATTCTACAGAAATATAATGCATGCCACCACCTACTTTAAAATTTTCTAGTAGACACATTCAAGAAAGTAAAAAGGAACAGGCAAAATTAACTTTAATAGTACATTTTATTTAACAAAATATATCAAAGGTATCAATTCAACATAAAATCAATGAAGAAAATTGCTAGAGATATTTAACTTTTTTTTCATATGAAGTCTTTGAAATCAGGTGTGTCTTTTATCCTTACATCACATCTCAATTCAGACCAGCCACATTTCAAGTGCTCAATCGCTACACGGGGCTGGCAGCTAGTGTATTGGACAGCATAGCTCTAGAATGTTCTTTTCTTATGCCTTTGTGAGGCAAACATCTACTCTCCAAGACTCAGCCAGGTTGGCTCCTCCAGGAAGCTGTCTGCACCCTCCTGCTCTTACTCCACCCTGGGATGATGTCCTATTCCCCACAGCTCCCTTTGCTGAGTCTGTAGCACGGCCTTTTCCACAATGTATTTTGACTGTCTGTTTATTCATCTGTCTCAGTGAACGGTGGGAAACTTGAGGACAGGGATGATGTCTATTCATCTTAGTCTCCTCAGTGCTAGCAAAATGACAGGCATATTATACACTTCTGGAAATGCCTGTGGAATGAATGAAAAGATGCAATGGGTGGTATTTGGATATATATGATCTCACTTCCTTTCCATGGTCATTTCTTCGAGCTTTTGGGTTTGGAAGTGAAAACTGGAAACTAAACATTCTTTCCTTTAACAGGCAAGATTCCAACATGGCTGCAGGGAATCCTGCTGCGCAACGGGCCTGGGATGCACACAGTGGGGGAGACCAAATACAACCACTGGTTTGACGGCCTGGCCTTGCTCCACAGCTTCAGCATTCGAGATGGTGAGAGCACTGTATGAATCCATGGCTATGATGCTTTGGCTACTGTAACAAATAACTACAAACCTAGTGGCTTAAAAAACCACACAGTTATTTTCTTACCTCTAGAAGTCAGAAGTCTAAAATGGGTTTCACTGGGCTAAAATCAAGGTCTTGGCATGACTGCATTCCTCTGGAGCCTGTAGAGGAGAATTCATTTCCTTGCCTTTTCTAGCTTCTAGAAGCTGCCTGCATTCCTCAACTTGTGGCTCCATCTCTGTCTTCAAAGCCAGCAGCATAGCATCTTGCAATCTCTCTCTCTTTCTCTCTCTCTCTGCTTTCATCCTCATATTCTCTGACTCTGACCCTTCTGCCTCCCTCTTATAACGACCCTTGTGATTACAATGAGTCCACCCAGATAATCCAGAATAGTCTCATCTCAAACTCCTTAATCACACCTATAAAATCTCTTTTGCTATGACAAGTAACACATTCACAAATCCTGGGGATTAGGATGTAGATGTCCTGGGGGCTGGGGCAGCATTACTTAACCCACCACAAGCACAAACCTTCTTGGAAAGGTGGCCAAGGTTTGTTTTCAGAGAGTTCATCTTGCAAAATAATATACATTCCCAGTAAGGGAGCTAAGACCAGGTAGAAGATTATAGGCTTTGGAATCAGACATGCATAAAATCAAAATAGGAAACGCACAGAGCTGAGAAGAACAAGCTGAATACATTGGTCACCAGGCAAGGGAGAGCATGTCACTCAAGCAATGAGTTGAGTGGTCTCCCTGAGTAGAAATGGAAATGGCTGGATATAGAGCAGAAAGGAAGAAGTATCCCAAATAAGGCAAAATTCTAAATTCAGGTGTCTGGCTCGAGCGAACTCTTCACTATTGGCAGTGGTCAGTTGGCCAGTCTCCAACACAGGGTCGAAGGCCGCAGAGTGCAGGAACTCTGATCAAATTGTGTCTTCGCCACCTAGCACAGGGCCTGGCCTGGAGGGGCACTTGGAAACTCTTGATGGAGCTGAGATGGTATGATGAGATAGCCATTGTTTTGGTAGATGGATATGATATTTCCCCAACACAACTCTTCAAACCCACTGCAAGGAGGTTTTGCTGGCCCCTCTAAGTATTTCGTGCCTATCCACAACTCAGCCCTCACAACACCTCCTGAGGAAGGAACCACTATTATTATCTCAATTTTACAGATGACAGCCCACAGCCCAGCAAAGAAGTGGTAGACATCAGACGTAAACCCAAAGCTCTCTAAACTCAAAATCCCACGTCCTAACCACTGTGCAATTCTACCATTCCCTTCTCCCACTGGCTACTGTCCTTCCCTGTTTCTCCAGCCCAGTCCTCTCAGGGCTGCCAGATCACCAATGTTGGTGTGGCACAGCTTGGCCTCATCTCTTCTCTCTAGAACTCTCAGTGGCTCCCCATTGTCTGACAGGGGAAATAGAAACCAAAAATGCTAAGTTCTATACCTGATTCAGTAGAGTGCACCCACAGGGAAATCAGAGTCTCTGATTTGCAGCTGACACAAAGCCAGTGTTTCTCACGAGGTCGTTTGTGGACCTCCTGCATTGGAATCCCCTAGGATGCTCATGAAAGCTTTGAATCCTGAGACCCATCCAGGGATCATAATCTCGAGGGGTAGGGACAGAGGCTTGGTGTTTCTAACATGTTTCCCAGGTGATCTGAGCCCCCTGAGGCTTGAGAATCCCTCCACAGTGGACCTTCAGCCAGGCTGCTCAGGTCCACCCAAGGCTGAGTTAATCAGAAATGCCATGGGTGGGGCACAGTCTTCTGTAATTTTTTTAAAAAGAGCCAAGGTGATTCCAGTGCACAGCCAGCTCGGAGAACCTCCGCATAATGCCAAACTAATAAAAGACTTTGGAGCGGGCCGACCCCGTGGCTCATTCGGGAAAGTGCTGCGCTGGGAGTGCAGTGGCGCTCCAGTTGCTGGTTCGGATCCTATATAGGGATGGCCAGTGTGCTCACTGGCTGAGTGCGGTGCGGCGATGCCGAGCCAGGGGTTGCAATCCCCTTACCGGTCACAAAAAAAAAATAAAAAAGACTTTGGAGCAAGAAAGCGAAAGGCAGGAAAATGGCTTGTGGACTTCACTAGAGGCCAGTAGAAGTTTATACTTTAAAAAAAAAATAACTATTTGAATAAAAGAGGCACAGTGGAGAAGGTGAAGCTGGGTGAAAAGTATACAAGAACACTCCTTTCTATAAGTCTAAAATTATTTCAAAATAAAGAGTTTTTATAAAGCAGGCATAGAGATGAGTGATTCCAAGTCTCCCTTGGCAATGAAATTCAATCATTTTCTAATAAGAGGCAAAGTCATTGTCCCACCAAGATTTGAAGATTGGAAAGTGAGCTTTTATATATACATCAGTACATATAGATAGATAGATAGATATGGATATAGATATAGATATAGATTAGATATAGATATAGATAGATATAGATATATTCCATCCCCACCCCACCAAAATGGATATAGATACAGATATAGATTAGATATAGATATAGATAGATATAGATATATTCCATCCCCACCCCACCAAAATAGAAGAGCCCAGGCAGGAGCGTGTCTGTTCACCCATGTCTCTTCAGAAGAAATGTGGCTAACTGGGCTCTCCCAAAAGCAGGGTGGTGGGACTGTGGGTGGCTCCTCCTTTAATCTGAGCCTCAGAGTTCAGTTTTAGCCTTGAGCAATTCCAGAGATCTGTTTTCCTGTGGTCCCTGGGTGCTCCATGCTTTGGGGCTGGATGTTTATAGGAAATGGGCAGCCTGGACAACTGGGCTGGATATTTACATTTCAAGGAACAGAATTCAGCATTTCAGGCTAAGCACCCGGGTGGCCCAAAGCATCCTAGCTGATGCCATGTGGGTGGTGACCTCCATCTAGAAAGAGGGACCAGTGAAAGAAGGGCTGATTCACAGGGAGACCAAGGTGGCCCTAAAGCAGGTCTCCACTTCTGTGCAGCACGTGGGTGAGGACCAGTGTGTGGCCTCGCTGACCCCCAGGTGAGTTTTCCCACCTGCAGGATTTTGTCACACAATCTGGAATTTCAGCAGCTTTCATTTATCAAGTTCACTCTCTGTGCCAGTGGGCCAAACACCTTGCCTCATCTCATCTCATTTAAAACTGCCCACCCTAAGAGAGAGGACTGTGTGATCTCTAACAAGCAGTTGAGGAAACTGAGGTTCAGTGAGATTAAGAGACTTGCCCAAGATCACCCAGCTTGCATGGAGATGAACCCAGAGCCAAAGCCTTGACCCACTCTGTCTACAACATCTCAATACTGTATGTAGCTTTTATTGAGCACCTACTATGTGCTCAGTGCTTTACAAGCCTTAAATGTCACACAACTTTGTAAGGAACGTCACACACTCTGTAAGGAACGTATCATGGTCCTTATGTCACAGTGGAGGGGACTGAGGCTGGGCTCGGAGCAAGGGCAAGTGCATGGCTGCTACATGATAGAGCAAGGATTCCTATCCATGTGGAGACCTAACCCTCCTTAGAGGTAGGGACTTTGACTGGTCTGTTGCTTATTAGGTCCCCGCTTCCTGGCCCCTCAGGGTGTTTAAGACCTATTGGTTGAAAGCATGAAATCAGGGCCTAGTCAACCCCAAAGCCCAGGCTCCTAGCCGGTCCTCCACATATATATATATATAGATATATATATATATATATGTTTTTCTTTTTTACCGGTAAGGGGATCGCAACCCTTGGCTTGGTGTCGTCTGCACCATGCTCAGTCAGTGAGCCCACCTGCCATCCCTATATAGGATCCGAACCCACGGCTTCGGCGCTACCAGCGCCACACTCTCCCGAGTGAGCCACGGGGCTGGCCCAAGTCCTCCATATTTCTTCCTGCTGCTCCAGGAATAAATCTCCCTCTAGAGAATATCTCAGGGATGACTTATTCCCACAGTAGCCACCCATGAAAAGATGGTTGAGAAGAGATGATTACCTGCCCCTTAAGGACACACAATTAAACACCTGAAGACTGGAGAAGGAACTAGGGGGTCTTTCCTGGTCTCCTTCAGTCTTATTATGATTAGTGTTACTATTACTGCCATTAGCTCCACTTAAGTGCACAGGTGGGAGTCATTACCACTGAAAAGTACACTTAAATCCTTGGGAGATGGACATGAAAACACAACCCTGAGGGTAAAATTAATCAATGATGTTAGAAGTCAGCATAGTGGTTACGCTGGCGGGGGAGGGGTTAGTGACTGGACAGATACACGAGGGGGGCTGATGTCCTGTTTCTTTTTTCTTTTTCTTTTCTAAGTAATAGATTTTATTTTTTTTTTATTTTTTTATTTTTTGGTCTTTTTTGTCTTATTTTTCCGTGTCCGGCAACGGATTGCAACCCTCAGTGTTGCCCCCGTACCGGACCAGGGACCGGCAACGGGATTGCAAACCTCGGTGTTGCTCCCACGCCTC